CGAATAACTTTTTACCCTTATATATACATATTATAAATATCGCGCGGTTTTCGTACTGGTTGGACAAACGGAAAAAGGCAGAGCAAGAGAAAATGAAACGAGTTTTCGTTGAAGGAAAGGAAAAATGGGACGCGTGTCGACCTGCGGCAGACCTAAGCACGGAATGAATCCAGAAGAAGAAAAACATCGCAGCTTAACGAAGGAGGATTAATGCCTTGGGGACACCTGGTAAAAAGGCTATTTACAACTTTATTAAACCGCCTCGCCGCACACATAGGTCCCATGGAAGAACGTGTAACGAAACGACTCGACTTACGCGAAAAGCGCGGAATAATATCGTAACGCGAGACAGCGACAACTCGTCGCTAGGTTGCGCTGCTGGTGTGCAGCAGCAGCGTGCTGCGCACACCTACCCGATATTTTATAATGGGTCTCTCGATAAAAATGCCACTTGTCAGGCCGCGACTGTTTTGCATAATTTCAGTTCAGGATACACGCGCGTAAATTGCACGCACGGGCAATAAATCTCGAGGGAAACCGCTATACACTTCAGCCCCGTACTTCTCTCTCTCTCTCTCTCTCTCTCTCTCTCTCCATCTATCTGTATCACGTGCACCAGCTTTCCTCTCTTTCTATCCTTCTTGCACGAATAGAACGCGATAGAAAGAGAGAGAGAGAGAGAGAAGCTTATAGCTGCAGATATATGATCTACGATATGTCTAATGGCAATTAATGCGGCCAGTTTAATATCATCGCGCTGCATTTAACCATTCCACGCTGATCCACCCGGTAGCTACTTTGTGTATTTTTCGATTTCGTAGCATCGCGTGTCCCCCAACGGGATATATACGTACATATATCGTCGGTTTAAGAAGATTTTCTTGGGCTAAAACAACCGAAAGGAGCAGAGATTACGCGGCTAGATCGATTAGACTCACTCGTAGGATAGATAATCCTCTCTCGTGAACGTATCTCTGACAGGATCGAAAGAAGGCAACGATCTTCTTCTTCTTCGTAAAGATGATCTTGTTTCTCTACTAGAGCCAGCGTTCGCGAGACAGAGAGAGAGAGTGGGGGGCGAGGGGGAGATTCGAGCGACGGAAAAAAACCGTGCTTTCTAATTAATCGGTTAAGCTGAGCATTCGCGGTGCTTAATGGCCGTAATTAGCCCTACATGCTTCGCGCGGCCACTGAAATTGCGCGATTGACCTGTGTCAGGGTGGAGGGGGAAGGAGAGGGAGGACGTTCGCGGAGAAATTAATAAAACGTAGGATGACCTAAGCAATCATGATTGCATAGTTTTTTGCCAATCTTTCAGAGAGAAGAATTTCTTGCCATAGTACGTTTTTCTATTGACTTTTAACCCTTTCGAATGGTACATGTACATATATACAGGAGGGGTCTACGTTCTCCCGAGCGACGATACGTAATCGTCTCATCCTATCGCTTTTAATTATTAAGCGGCACGGCACAGGAAACGTCTTGGGGAGAGAGTGTGTGTATCGATAGCAGAAGTCTACCGTAACATGCGCCGCGATAATAGAATTTTATCATTATCAAACACGACAGGTCGCGCCGCGTGTTATGCAACGGTGTATAGTCACTTAATATTCGCGCGTTTCGTTCACGTTGCTTATGTGTAACAATCTAACAACACCGTCAACCCTGATAACTATTCTCCTCTTCTTTTAAAAACGACCAACTCTTGGAACGAGGCGTCGAACCGAAACGAAATTCGTTGGTCGATCGCGGCGGCGCTTATGCAAAACGAGTCGAAACGCGGAGCGGGTAAAAAAAGAGGCGGTAAAAAAAATTCCTCGGGGCGTATTTCGTACGAGAGTGAAAATTCCACGGATCACGTTCTCTTCCCCCCTAATTAAGTCGTCACGCGAAACAGCCGAAAGAATGCGGGGATATTGTCAGAAATGTAACGCTGAAAATGATCCGGTATGGTGGGAAGGAGAAGGGTGGTGGAGGAGGAGGAGGAGGAGGGTTAATAAATATCCTCGGTTCCGCGAGCAACTTTTCAATGTTATAACGACACGCGGCGTCTTTAATTTTCGGTTCGGCGGCTCGCGTGATCCGTGGAATATCAAAAGCGCCAGGCCGTGTGTGCGCGTTTGAACGGCGTAAGGGTGGTTGAGTAATGACTAACGAGTAATGCGCCGACATAAGTAAGCATTAAGTAACGAGTGGCCACTCACACGTGCGAGCGAGGATCGGGAGAGCGAGTCGAGGCTGTTGGGCGAACGAGAGAACGCCGCACACATAGGAGAAAACGGTGTGCACACGAGATTACGAGCACGGTTGTCTCGGTTGATCATGATGTTCCTTTCATTCAGGGGCCCCGATTAACGATCTGCAGATGTATTTAACGAGTCTAAAAGCGGCACTGTGGTTTACCGAGCCGCTCCCCACCGTCCTGAGTGCCCTCTTCTCTATCTCCCTCTCTCTCTCTCTGAAACGAGAAGTTTACGAAAGTTTTTTCATTTCACAT